TTAAAACGTCGAAATATACAGTGTGGAATAGAACGTGTGTGTGTATGTGTGTTTGACACATTTAGCATCCGATTATCAAATCACCGTCGGTTAACCCACTCATCGCTCTTTGTAGACGGTTCCGTGCGTGTGCAATGAATTCATCGAGATTTATCGATGGACCAACGCAAATGAATGGCTTTAAAATGGTTTTTTTCATGGTTTTCGTTCAACGATTGCTGTTTGTCATTTCATTTTGTGCGATTTATCGGAGGAAATGCGATTCTTGCCTGCACATTAGTTTTCCGTTTAGCAAATGAAAATAAATGTTGAGCCGAAAATGTTTGACGCAACCGAAAAGTGTATTTCAATTGGAAAAAAATGGATGGAGAAAAAAGAGGAAAAAAAAAACTAGCAAAACTAAACACTTCCATTTCATCGTTCATTAGACAGGATGGCACGGATGAAAATCGCCTGCCGCAACAAAAACAATCGATTTGTTTTCCGAAAAAAACGAAAAAAGCACGCGATTTAAACAAAACAAGAAGTAAAAACGGGCTCGCTTTCGAAAAATGTGTGTTGTTTTCTTTCACTTACGAAAAATGTTTGCCAAATGCACCGTTTTTTATTTCGTTTGATTGTCGTTGGCTGCTGCTGCATTTCCAACAGTCACTTTGTTGAACGTATCGTTAGATGTAAAATTGATCGAAAAAGGAACTGTACGCAGACAAACAAACCGAAACTACAAAAAAAAAACACAATGAACATCGAAATGCACTACAAATTCGAATGAAGAAAAACACTTAGCGCAAAAATGAAAGCAGCAAAATTCGGCAAATAGATAACAAACAAAAAAATCACTCACACTCACAGACACATGAAGAGAAAGCGAGAGAGAGGACGAGTGCGACACATTGAAGTTGTAAAATACTGTTAAAATAATTGACTGAACTGATCTGTTGTGAGCAAATAGAATGTGCTTGCGTGGTATTCGATTATGTCGGTCTGTCCTGCTGCACTGCCATCATAAGCACTAAACAAATGCTGAAGTTTTGTGTAACGCGAAACCGTAGACACCGAAAACAACAACCAGAGAGGAAAGAAAAAAAATAACAGCAGCAGCAGCAGCATACACACACACATCGAACGCCAAAAAGGAAACAAATTGAAGAGAGAGAGGGAGAGAGAGAGAGCGAACGAACGAAAAAAAAATGAATGCGAGTACACACAGAAGCGATAGAACCGAACGGCATCAATTTCCACCATCAGCATCGAATATTACGAACACGCACTGCCAGTAAAAAATGTATACCGTATTGCATTTGGCAGAACGATGGAAATGCACACGGCTCTCGTGCATCGCAATCACAAGCGCAATACGAAACGTTTGTAAGAAAAAACACACACACAATTTTCATGCCGAAATTTTCGGTGTGTGTCTTCTTGTACTGTACAATATGATTATAGAATATGCACGTATATAATTTTGGCTTCGTGTGGCATTGCACGCGCGTCTTCGTCAGCGCGCGAGCGCGCGTTTCCACCATCAACAACAACAAAAGCAGAATGAAAATGTTTCCAATTTTTCCGTTTCTCGGTCTCTTTCTCCAATTTATTCTCGGAATGCTGCATGTGTCCTTCGATATGTTGATAAACAGAGCGCGATACGCTCACGCAAAACTGAATATGCGATGGAAAGCATTTGGGCTGGTGGCAGTGTGCGAGCGAGCGAACGAACGAGTAAAAGCGTCATTGTTCAAGCCATTGGAAAATGCAGGCTGTCTGCCTGCGTGCACAACAACATCGCAAAGCACGACGATGGCAAAAGGCAGTAAACACACGGGGCCCGACAGAGCGGAAAAGCATATGGTATATCTATACATTGTGTGCGAGTGGAATGTGCACGAAATAGCAGTGGCTGCTAGTTGCGAATGGAGAAAATTTTCATTCGTGAGAAATGGGGCCAAAGATATGCACACACATTCACATCTATAATGTATAGATCCTGTGCGACATACACATGGCACATTGCAATTGCATCGAGAAAACGGATCGCTCACGCTCTCACTCTCTCAACGCGCGTTCTGTACATGTCTTTGACTTGACTTTGTAAACGTTCACACTCATTGTAATGTGCCTGTGTGTGTTTTAGTGCTTTTTTCATTCTTTGAATTGCGTTTTTTTTTCTTCTGTTCCGTGAATTAGAAAACCATTTCCAATGCAGTGGCATGGCAAGTCAAACCAAGCAAAATAAATACTGACGCGTAATAGCCCAAATAGTTTTTCATTTAATAAATGAGTGAACGGGCTGCATGTGTTTGTGTTTCAATAACAAAACAGCAGTCGCATTGACTCGTCATTTCATCAGGATACAATCGAACAGAAAAAACAACAACAACCAACGAACGCTTTACGCCAGCCAAACACAACGATTCACATTGAATCGAGTAGAGAGAGAGAGAGAGAGAGCGAGGAAAAAAGAACGACAACATTAAATGGAACCGATGCAGAGAGAACAAAAAAGCATAGAAAACGAAGCCATCGCATTCGATGCAATTGTGTGCGACTATATCAACATTAAACTTTCATCTAGATATGGAAACTAAATAAAAATGCACCAGTACAGCGGAGAGAGAAAAAAAAACACACAAAGAAACGAGAACGAAACGAAAAAAAAAAGATTGCGCCATGAAAACCCCGTGTGTTTGAGTTTGAGTTGAAGGAAAAGCCATTATCCATTTTTTTTATTATTTGTTCGATCAACGAACGAGCTTTTCGCTACTTCCTGCGATTTCATTCATGTTTTTGTTGTGCACTCTCTCTATCTCTGCAATGTCATTGCGTACGCTTCAAAACTGCAGATTGGCAGAATTCAACAATAAAAAAAGAACGATTTTCCTTCGGTTTTGATAGTTATTGATTTTCTCTTTCTCTCTCTCTCTCTCTGTTGATGGAAATGTCGTTATATAATGAAAACTGTATGCATCGCATAAGAAATACAAAACAGTTTAACGTGCTAAATTCGAATGTGACCGACTAAATTTCAAACACATTTCAAACTGGCTTTAAAAATGTTAATTTGGCGCTTGAAAACCAAAAATTTGTTGTTCTTGTTTGCTCTTGTTGAATTACACACGAACGCACAAAAGACACTAAAGACGAAACTACTTGATAGAGAGTAGCGACGGCAGAACAACACGAACGGGGCAAACATATGCATGCATTATTAAAAGTGGAAAAATATCGATTTTACATTAAAATTGTCTGCGAACTATTTTCTTTTTTTTATTCGTCTTTCGTTTTGGCCCTCTCTCTCTCTCGATCGCGCTCTCTCCTGCGTTTCCATATATACACATACATCGGGTTTGCATATAATATCGAGTCAGAGCTCGGACAAATTTTCCGTTTAATTTCGAACAACACAAAATGCATTCAAAGTCCTTAATGCTTTCGCATTTAATGTGCTCTCTGCCATTCATGTTGACGTTACAACGTTGCAACATGAAAAGCCAATGCGAATAATAAAAACGCGCGCGTATATATATACATTGCAAAGAGCAATTGACTGAGAATATATACGGATAAGCCAGCGAGAGAACCATCGTCACACGCACATATTGCACCACCGAATGAGCCGAACTAACCGAATCAATAACAAGAGAACATAAACACGCTACTATTATTCATTTGCCAAGAATTCATTTTTTTGCCGTTTCGTTTCGTTTGTTTTGCATCGTGGAAGAAAAAAAAATGCGACCATTTCGGTGAAACGCGATAGAGAAAGAAAATTTCAATTCGAAGTAAAATAAATTCAATTGTTTGAAAATAGGAAGATGGACAGAATTTGGTATTAGTTCAGAAAAAGAAGCTGTTCGGTTCTTATATTCAACACACGCATAATTTTTATGATAAAACTAATGTTCGGGTTGTTTTCTACTTGCGGATTGAGCGACTGCATTTTTTAACAAATGATAGTTTTTTTTCAATGGGTTCTCATAATTGCGTCGGTATGGAGTTTTATTCGGCCTTCTTCGCTCCCGTTGACTTCGCTTACTGACGGACATGTCACACGCAACTCATCAATTAAGATTTTATATCATGTTTACAATACATCCACTTCGATTACTTTGCCGACGACATGCTCATTTTTATTTCTTTTCTTTGTTGTTTGTCTCATTTCATATAAATATCACACGAAAATATCAACGAAATTTTTTAATTTTATCTTTTTTTTTAATTTCAACTTTTTCCATATTATTTTCTGCTTTCGAATTCATACAACTGTTCGATTGATTGTTTTAGCATATTTTCCACTGGCTTTTTTAACGACACAAAGTTTTTTTTCTTGCACAATTTATTCTTTTTTCTATTTTTAGTGAACACTAGAAAATATTGTCACTTTGAATTTTTACAACGATCGAAAAAAAAAATTCTAACACTCAAAAAAATTGCAACCAAAACCAACTGAATGATTTATAACCGTTTTTCATATTTTTAATCGTTTCCTTGTTTCAAATGATGTAGTTAATTTTAGAATCATTTTTTGCCAGAAAATCGGTAAAAAGAACCCCAGAAATGACCAAGTGATTTTTGTTTTTCAAACGCCAAAGAAATTTCGAATAAAATAACAGAAACAAAAAATTATGCACCAAAAAAATGGGCGAAAATTTTACGAAAATTTTTCCAGGATAACAAATAACTATGCAACACAATTGAAGAGAATTTTGAAGGAAAAAAATACTTGAATAAATGTTGTGTTGTGGAAGAAAATCGGGGAGAATTTTTCCACTAAAAACCACTTTGTATGTAGCAAGAATGCGTTTCTGATGTGTAATTTGCCAAGCGAAGAGCTTTGACGTTCTATGTTGGCAACGTTCAAAATAAATTTGCGTTGTTAGATGTGGCCGAATCACACACAGAGTGGTTCGAAGTGTAAGGAAATTCTCTCAATAAAATATTTGTGTGTTTTTTTTTTGTTTCTTCTTCGTTTCGGTTTCCAATATCACACACAACAACAGTACCCGCTGCACTTTTTGAGTTGATGAAAACAACGATGTGGCCAAGCAGCGACTTGTTTCGAAACTGATACTTAGAACGCAGCACTGCGTGCTTCCTTCGACAACAAAATTCACTGAAAACTCTCCATACACAATACAAAAGTGTTGCTTGGCTCTTCTCTCGTCATATCGTAGTCGTAGTCGCGCGTTGTCGAGTGTGTACGAAAAATGTGAATGCTGCTGCTGCTGCCATATACGCTGCCACACACACACTCTCTTTCTCTCTCGCCTGTCCCTTGTACATACACACACTCTCTCTCTCTACGTGTTTTATGTAGTTTGTTTTTTTCTCTCTTCTCTCGTCGTTTTGTTATAAATATTGTTGCTATTGCTATTGCTGTTGTTGGTCGGTGTGTCGTGTCGCCAATAAAAGTATGTGCAATCAAGTTTCAGCGCGCGCGATACGAGAGCATCGACAGAGGGAGAGAGAGAGAGAACCAAGAAGGAGAGAGCGAATGAAGCACACACCGTGTTGGTGCTGTTTATTCCACATCGTGCGATTCGTAATTGTGTGAGTAAATTCGCATTTTGTGAGGCAGCCAGCCGAACGCGCGTAACTGTAATGGTGTGCAATGCATGGAATAAGCAGCACCAACAGCAATAGCAGGCACACGGCATAGAACACACAATTCGTACACACCGTGAGACGAGAGATAGACATAGAAATATTGTTCCAACAACACCAATCACACACATATAGTATATGTACCCCAAGTGTGCTCTCTCTATTATAACACACAGGCCGCACATTCTATAATAGAAAATCGGTTTCTCGTTTGCAAGTCACACTCAATGTGATCTATAGCTATGCGATTGTGTATATTTATTTAGATTGAACAGAGAGTACACATGCATACGTCGCTTTCGACGATCCAACATCCATTACACGTATGCTCCATCGTTTCGAATTGGAGATAGAAAAGCAAGTGTGATGCACACACAGAGACACACACAAACACTATTATCCGACTAGAAAAACGGAGAAGTGAATGCATACACTCCAACCGAACAACACGGGAGATAGAATCGTAGAGAATGACCAATCTGTTGATACGTAATGTACTAAAACGCATACAACGATAGACAAACACATTCGAACGCGTCAATTCGCACGAAAATTCGCTACTCTTGTCCAGAGAGGTGAATCACAGATGCACAGGCCGCACGCGTTTGTGCGAAAAAGAGAGAACGATCAGCCAAAACACAGCCGAACAATTCGTCGCCGATAGATTTGAGCGTACACACACATTTTTTTTCTGTTCATCTAAAAAAAAAAGGATGACACGATTGGGCTAGTGCACGGGCGGTATGAGACAGGGCGATAGAATAGTCAAAAACTATGTGCCGCCGCTTTGCGTTCCATTCGTCGATCCATTGTTTCAATTGTATTGGAAAGTTTATGCCGAGAAGCCACAAGCCAAAATCCACGGAAGCGACACATCTAATAGCGAAACTAACGCACACCACTCCAACTGCATGTGCAGAAAAAGAATGAAACGAAGCAAATGGAAATAAATAAAACGGCCAACAAATTCGTTTTTCTGTGTGGTTGCCGAAAAGGGGCAGCCAATACCGATGTTTGCCGTATGCGTGTACGATCATGTCAATGCCAACAGCAACCGAATTTGTTGGCAAATGTGAAGGATGAAGTACTATGCAGATCCATGTGATTGCGTCCAAGTCTTGAGGTTGAGGACGCAAACTAATTTCGCACAGCGGTATGATGTGAATACGGCATAAGTTTGCCAACAACAAATTGGCAACCAACCGGTCTACACACGCTGTAAAATCCCTCAAATATGTGAACGCATGAAGGAGATCCACTCAAAACTGTATTGGGGAGTTGCAATTTTTTTTTTTTTTAATTCAACCCATACTAATGTAACAGCTATAGTAATTCTCTTTTCCCCATACCCACATGTCACACGCATCACAACCACCACCACTACTGTTCATTTTCGTCAAACGTCATCCATTCCACTTAATCTTAGATCAAGCACAAAGACAACGAAACAAAAATCCATCGCCAATAGACGAAAAAAGCGCCAACACACTGTGCTATAGTGTATGTACACATTAGCGCGCAAAAAGAGCGTGCACCAACAATTCATAGTCCGTAAGATACACGATCCCGACGTATGCACACACAAATTCGCATCAATTCGGTCGAATCACCTACACACGCAATGGCCCGCCGACAGTGCACCATCACAATAACAAATAACGTATGAACGGCAACAGCAACCGAAAAAAAAGCACGGCGGCCCAAAATGCGGCGGAGAAACGTGCACTCAATTCAAACAACAGTGTCGTCACACAAACACATGAGGAGTAGGACTACGAAGCGTGTGTGTGGCAACAGTGCGAATACTAGAAATGCAATACGAAAAAGCGCGATCGCTTAATATACACAGCAAAAACCATTAGAGCAATACCGAGTATAGTCAAAGCATGGCAGCAATACGCGCCGCGTGGATTTTATTTACATTTTTCATACACTTCCCCTTCGCAAAACGAGAGAGCGAGCGCGCACGGCAGCAACACAGCCGACCAAAAACAGTTCGGGTAGTTTGTCTGTGTATGCACTCAATCCGAAATGTATTGTGCAGTGTGCGACGCCGGAGGTGCCGCGTAAATGTTGGTTGTTGTTGTCGTCGTCATTGCTTTATCGTCGTTTCTGTTTTGCCGCTCTGTCCGCAGCATTCGTATGCTTTTTTCTATTGTATCAAGCGGGGCGATACACTTCAATCGACAAACGATACGCAATCCAGCTGCGTACGACAAGTTACGGCCACTACGAAACGGTTTGAATCGTTTGTAATGATAGATTTCAGTTTGATGTGATTTTTTTCAACTTTAATTATTTTTTTTCGTTTGACCAGAGGGTAAAATTCTGGGAATTCAGTCTATAAAGTACATGCATTTCAAGTAGAGTTTTTTTTAAGTAAAGAAAATTAAATCAAAAATGTAGTAATAAAATTAAACTGATGATTCTAATAATGAAATATGATCGAAAAATTCCAATTTTAAAATGAAGAATTCAATCGATAGCAACGAAAATGCCCATTCGCAATTTCGTTGGAACTTCATTTTGAATCGAACGATACACACAATTGCTACCAATAGCACATCGTCCACCACTTCGAGCGACAAAATGTGAATCGAAAATGAATTAAGTGGAATTGTAATTTCCCACGAAGGCGAACAGGCGAGGTGTACGCTAAACACGCGTACACAATGTTTGCCGCTGCATCAAGAAGGAAGAACAAAACGAATGAAATTCGCACGAAAAGAGGGGACACCAGCCGTATGCTAGTACAAGCAAAACAGTAAACATGTTTGCGGCAAACATTGCCGTGTTTGCGCGTACTATTTGCTTTTCTTTTGCATGAATAATAAAACGTCGTTCGTTTCACTCGGTGATATCGTTACACGATATTCTTTTCGTAGAAACTTTCAAACGGAAAAACTTTGGTAAAAAGTCAACGTTCAGATTGAATAGAGAAATAAGTTTTCATTTCGATACTTTTACTCCCAAAAACAGCCTAACAATTTCGTTTCGCCGCAAATAATCGTTTATCAAGTGACGATTAAAATTTCTGGTGAGTCATATGATTTCGAAGGAAACGAACGAGAAAACAAAAATTGAGGAAAAGGAAAAAGTGATGAGCATTCTTGGTATTCGTCGAAATCACCACCACCACCATCATCATCTCGGATAAAATGTCAAATAAGACAAGGAAAAATGAAACGAGAGAAGCAAAGAGAAGAGGGAGAAAGAGAAAAAAAAACAAATGCCGAAGCAATTTGCCCTTGAAAAATCTTAGGCTACCGCAATCTCTTGCTCTCAAACCTCTATACACACATCATATAACCAAAAAAACAGCTCAATAATAGCCGTGGTCTGGTTAGCCGTTCGTTCAGTAGGTCGGTACAAATATTTTAATATGCACGCATACGAATGGAAAAAAGGAACAGATGAAAAGACACACGAAAACTTGAGATGAGGAAGAAGAAAAAAAAAGAATCAAAGCAATAAATGAGACGTGAACAGCAGCGATCGGAGACAAAACAAACACACACTCATATATACACCGAAAAAATATGCGTTGCGCTTACCGGCCGGTACTACAAAAAAAAAAAAAAAACAACGATGACGACGACGACGACAAGCAGAAAAGCAAAGTCAAATGAATGCAAATGGTTTATGAATTGCCCGAAAAAAAAACACACATTCAAAGGTCGTCTCTGGACAAATAAAAAACGCATCGAATTCCCAAATTTTATTTCGTATGCCACTTCAATTCTTAATTGTTCATAAATTTTGGCAGCTCTTTGTTTAAACGAAACAACCGTTTTCCTATAGCCATTTTTTGAATTACATGCATTGCTTCATGTTGTGACTTTGTTGTGTGTATGGTCTGCCTCCGAATTGAGGCCACGCGGACTTTAATTCAAGCGGGAAACTTTTTTCCCATATTAGAACTATGTATAGTGTTCAAGAACATATTGTTAAATTCAGCATATTGTTCATTTTGATCGCTCACACAAATTTGACGTGATTTTAATCAACTCTTAATGTTAGCAATAGCAACATTTGGTCCTTCGACTGTGAGACGAACACAGGGCCTATAGATATACAGTCTACCTACCCTTCAATTGTCCTTCAAACTGCATCAATTTCACCGAAAGGCTGGCAATCGAGAATAAAAATTTTATTTTTAGAATGACCGACTCGATTCTAAATTTTTGGAATGATTTGAACTGCGAATGTCAAAGGTGATGCAAAACCAATTCACATAGAACTTGATCAGAAAATATAAATTGAATTTAAATAAGTTAGAAGTGAATTTTTGTCGAAATGGGAATAGGCTATTCTCGAAAAACGAAGAGAGACTCCGGCGAAACCCAACCATTGTATATTTGTTATTGGAGACAGAGCCGTTCGTATGCAAAGTAACACATGTTTATGCGTTCGAATATAAACAAATGAAAACGCAACAAAACTGGTCGCCGCAAAAATAAATGCGACTACACATTGAATTACAGATCGACATTTGGAAGAGACACGCTTAAACACTGTGTTTTGTCTGTGTAAACATTGGTGCGATGTGTTTATGATTAGCCAGAAAATAAACATCGTGCAAAGAAGTTATATGAGTCGATATTTGTCCTTCAGTGTGGCGGATTTAGTGTCTACTTCCACCGATTC